ATCTGAAATTTACTTGCCTAGCTATTTTAAAATATGCAGTATGATATCATTGACTGTAGTCATCCTACTGAGCAATAGATTTCAAAACTCATTCCTTCTTTGCTATATTTTCATTACCATTATTACTGAAAGGACCCAGACCCAGTCACAAAAACTTATGTTTCCTCTTCCTTTTCCTGGAACCCCTACCAGCCACTAATCTGCTCTGTCTTGGTCAATTGCTTATGCTGGACATTTTATATAAATGGCATTGTACAAAACTTCACCATTTGTGACTGGCTTCTTGCCCTGAGCATAGTGCTGCCAGTTCAATCTGTGGTGTGGGACATATCAGTAGTTCATTCCTTTTAATAGCAGAATGAAATTCCATAGTATAATATGCCACATTTTGTTTATTATTTGATGGATATTTGAGTAGTTTCTACATTTTAGCTATTGTAAATATTGCTACTATAAACATTTATGTGCTTTTTGTGTACATGTTTCCAATTCTCTTGAATATATATTCTCTCTCTCTCTCTCTCTCTCTCTCTCACACACACACACACACACACACATACACACACATATGCAAGTAGAATTGCTGACTCAAATAGTAATTATGTTTGACTTTTTGTGGAATTGTTAAACCACTTATCAAATATTTGACTTGGAAGTACTCTACCCTATTCTTCAGATTATCTTTCCAGTTTCTAAATATTGCTCTTTAAGGCGAAAATGTTGTAATTTAATTCAAATTTTATTTGTTTATATTTATTATTATTGCTGTTAATATTACTATTGGCAGCACTGGGGAATGAACCTAAGGTCTCACATGTGCTAGGCAAGAGCTTTATCATAGAACTACAGTTCTTATCTTTCCTTTTCTGTTTGTTTTTTTTGTTTCAGGGTCTCATGCATCCAAGGCTGGCCTCCAGTTCAGTATGCTGCATAGATTAACCTTGAATTCCTGATCCTCCTGCCTTCACCTCCAAAGTCCTGGGATTACAGGCATGCACCACCATGCCCAGCTTTAAAATTTTATTTTGAAGCACAAATTAATTTTGACAAAGTAAAAAAAAAAAAAAAAGCCCTCACTCATTTAGACCTAAAGCGTTGATATTACATTATATATTTTTGGTTTATAGTTTAACCTTTCTCCCACTAGAATATAAATGCCCCAATGTAAGAACTTCATATGTTCTATTTATTGTAGAAACTTAGGATCTATTATGTACCTGTGGCAAATAAATATTTATTAAAATGATATATTTTTTCCTAGACTAAAAGAACTTGGTCTAGGTACCCGATACAGCTTCTGCCATAGTGCTATGATATCAGTTCTACAATGGTGATATGAATTAAAGACCACTGAAATATGAGAGGAAAAATGTATTTTTTAGAAACAGTGATAATATATATTTTTAAATAATTTGGCACACTAAAGTCTGTAAAACTCCTTCACAAGCACACTCTCTTTAATTTTTTAAGAATTTCATACCTGAGTATTACATTTCCATCCTCCTCGAACCTCCAGCTTTCCACGTCACCCCACTCCCTCTCAATTTTGTGATCTTTATTGTTGCTACACACACACACACACACACACACACACAGTCTGCCGAGTCTTTAGTGTTGCATAAGCGCAATCTCATTTAATGCTTGCTTTTACTCTGCTGAGGTCAGCATGATGGGAATTATTTCCCACTTTTGAAGATGTGTATAAATAATCTCAGAGAGGATAGAATTTCACCAAGGCCACCTGATGATCGTGATCCCAATGGAATGGAGGTGTTTCAGAACTTCTGTAGGGTGTGGACAGTGTAGGACAGAGGTTATGAGTAGATTTTGGAACTAGGCAGATCTGGGTGTGAATTTTCATTTGAACAACTACCAGCTGGGCATTCACTTTTCCCTATCTAGAGCTGGAAGAACTCTGTTCTACTCTTGGCATCATAAGTGCCTAATATGTAACAGATGGCCGATCTATGTATGCATGAGAGTGTGTCTGCATTTTCTCAGACACTAGGATGCAACTTAGTCTCCCTGAAATCATTTAGGATTCCTGAGGTAATCATTAAGTGCAGAAGAGAAAATTCATATCTATTCCATTATCAGTCAAAGGGGGAAATCCAGACTCCCCTTCTAGATTGTGAGCTGAAAATCTCTACAGCTATTCCAAAACCTTTGACTAGAACGCCCCAAGATGCCACCCAAGATGCTTTACTATTCTGTTTTTTAAAAATGCTTCAGGGGCTAGAGAGATGGCCCAGCAGTTAAGAGCACTGACTGCTCTTGCAGAGGACCCGGGTTCGAGTCCCAGAACCCACATGGCAGCTAACAACTGTCTATAATTCCAGTTCCAGGGATTCGATGCCTTCTTCTGCTTTTTTTGTCTGTGTCTTTTTGATACGGCTGACCTGGATTCGCTATGGAGACCAGGCTGGCCTTGAACTCACTGAGATCTGCCTGCCTCTGCCTCCCGAGTGCTGGGATTAAAGGTGTGTGCCGTCACACCCGGCACTATGTGTTCTTCTGACCTCTGTGGGCATTACGTGCAGGCAATACACTCATACACATAAAATGAAAATAATAAAGTATTAAAAAATAATAAACACTTCAAGCTGGATATAGTGGTGCATGCCTATAACCCCAGCACTGGGGATTTAGAGAAAGAGAATTCTGAGTTAAAAACCAGCCTGTGTGACATAGCCAGACTCTCTCTCTCTCTCTCAAAAAAAAAATTCAAATCAAATGACCATCGATCCAGCAAGTGTAGTATCTACAAGGTCCTTTGTCTGACACCTAGCACTTAGTATTGGGTTTTGGCCTGCTCCTCAGAACTTAATCTTAGAGCACTTGTGTATCAGTATCTCTTGGGTACAAACACCTGAATGAATAGGACTCAGCATGTATGGCAGAGTGCATAGGGTTCAGTGAGGGGATAGAGGGAGACATGGATTGGGGAGGGGGTCTGGATTTGAGTGGGAAATGTTGTATGACATTTAAAAAGCTCAATAAAAAGAGTTAAAAATTTGGGGCTAGAAAGATGGCTCAAAGGTTAAGAGCATAGGTGCTCTTGCAGAGGACCTGGGCTCAATTCCCAGTAGCTACATGGCGACTAACAACTGTCCTTAATTCTAGTTCCAGGGAACCCAATGCCCTCTTCTGACCTCCATGGGCATTGCATGACACAGGTGCACTAACATACATGCTGGCAACAATACTCTCATACACATAAAATAAAAATAACAAAGAAAATACTTTTTAAAAAGAGTTAAAAAGTTGATGTAGGTCTGGGATGGGGCTGGACAGATGGATCAGCAGTTAAGAACACTGACTGTTCTTGTAGAAGACCTGGGTTCGAATCTCAGCACCCACATGGCAGCTAACAACTGTCTGTAACTCCAGTTCTAGGGGATCCGACAGTCTCTTCTGTCCTCTGCAGACATGGCACGACACGGGTGCACTTACCTACATGCAGTCAATACACTCACATGCATAAAAAATGTTAATGTAGATTTGGGAGTATAACTCAGCAGTAGAGCATGCGTGAGACAATGGGTTGATCCCTGTACTGAAAAAAGGTGGGGGGAATCAGTGTTTGGGTACCAGTCCCTAAGATTCAGACTCACTTTATTAGAGATTTTCTATTTTTAAGTTGTATCAGAATCACCCAGAAGACTTATTAAAACAAATGTCTGGGGTTCTGGAACGCTCCAGTGTTTCCGATATTAATATTCTGAGATAAAGCCTGAGAATTTGCATTTCAGGTGATCTTGAATTTCAGGTATTTTTGCTACACTGGTACCTGGGCCATGCTTTTAGAACCATTTGATATGCAGTACGAGTGTCCTGAAGTCTAACAAGATTGAGTTACCACTTCTGAATGATGATTGATTATATTATTAATCCACTTTCCTTCTGTTACAGTCATGATCAAAATTTTTCATGGCGCAGTCTCCTAATTTTTACTACATTTCTTGATAGTTTTCAGTGCTGAGTTATTGGGCCCTTCCTGGACAAGAGCACATCTTCCCTCTGTCATTTTTTTTAAATCAATACAGCCCCTTGAGTGGGTTTGTATTATGGCCACTTGAATTATAATATCTTCCCATTTAGATCTGTAGAAAATTAGTTTGGGTAGCAGAGTGATGCAAAAGTTCATTTTTTGATACCTCTTCCCAGGCAGATTGGGGCTTAAATCAGTCAGCCAGTCAGTGGCTAAAGTTGAGTTGGCCCCAGAGGCTTACCATCCAGAAAAAGGATGCAGAGGAAGCTGGAGTTCTGGTTGGAGATTACTCTCACTCCAGAATTCTACAGAGCAATTTCAAGAACAGTAGGGAGTCTGAAGGTTATCTCCCCAGAGCTTTGGCTCATGATAGTTGGGTGAAGTCTGTGACTACCAGAAGGCAGTTGAGGTTCTCTGAGCTAGACTGGTTCTTAGCCCCACCTACTTGAATGACTGAGATAATTTAGGACAGGGATTTCTATAGCATATGGGGAGTTGGAGTGGGAGGGGCAAGATGACTATGAACTGGGGATCAAGAGCCTCAGTTCCTTCCATATCAATGTAGCAATGCATATAGAGGCTCAAAAACCTTACCCTGGACCATACACACTCTTAAGTGGAGACTTAGAACAAAACCCCTTACATGCATGTGGTGATCATGGGCAGTAGAAGCAGCAATCCTGTATTTAGAAGAAAGGGAGACTTTCTTTTGGAAGAAATATACTTGAAATTCATAACACACTAAGACAAAATAGGTACACTTTTGTCCTTGAACTGTAAAAAACAATCAGCTTATGCATGAATGTCCAAAGCTTTAGTTCCCTAATTTCCCATTCACTGGTTAGATTTAATCAATATATAGGCTAATTATATTTGTTCTTAAACTAATCCTGCCTTTATCTCTGACCCTGAAAAAAGACAAAATATTCTCTTTGGTAGGAAGACACAGGAGGCCATAAGAAGCTTATGTGCATTTTTTCCTGCTTGATTCCCATCTCCTTTGGCTTACCTGGTGTTGCCTTGTGCAGGTGTATTCAACCAGAGCCCACAGCCAGGAGATGCTCTGCTCCCCTCTCCTTCTCCATAACAGGGACTCTTTACTGTCTTCTTCCTTTTTTAAATAAACACTCAGCAGGCCAGTTCCTGCGCCATACATATGGTAGAAAAAGGTCAAGCAGTGTTTCCCAGGAACGCCTCTCAGAGGTTGGGACCAGAGATGTGCTTTTTGTCCATATACCATATGGGAAGCCTCTATGTACATGTAGTAGCCTTGAGAGGAAAAGAGGTAAGGTTAAAAAAGATCCAAATAACATTTTCTTTCATAGTATTCCTAGAAACATAGATTCTTTGGCTATAATACTGAGAAAAGGTTTCATAATTCTGCAGAGTATGCATGAGCCAAGAGAAATAGATGTGCTACAAGGATTAGGCCACAAAATGATTTTTCATTTGACGATTTTCAATTCAGCTTAATAGACAGGAGATTAATGTGACACTCATGTCATTGATATGATTGTCATATCTGAATTTATCTCACTAACTCATAGATAATATTGGGAAGCTTCCAAATGGTTTTGTAATTCCTCCAGATTCGTACATTGAAATCCTAAACCCCAAGACTAAGTAAGAGGAGGAAGAGAGAACTGATTAGGTCATGAAGGCAGTTCCTAATGAATGAGATTAGTTCCCTCATCATGGATTCCTGAAACTCAATCATCTCTTCCTCCATGGGAGGAGAGCTCCTGCAGATAGCCCCATCTAAGGAAGAAAACCTTCCCCAGACATTAAATTGGCAGGTGCCTTGATCTTGAACTTCCCACTCTCATGAATTGTGAGAAGCAAGTTTATGTTGTTTATAAGTTATTTAGCCTGTGATCATTTGTCACAGCAGCTCAACTGAACTAAAGCACAGCCTTGTCTCAAATCTTCTTGAGCTCTTTTAGTTGTTCAGGTCCAAAACCTGGGACTCACATAGCACTCTTCCTCTTCTCCACATCCAGGCTGCCAGGAATGCATGGTGGCTCTACCTTCATTCCATTCAGAATCTTGTCACTTCTCCCAATCCTTCCACTGTTAGTGACCTGGTCCAAGCTGCTATCAATTCACTGGTACTGATTTGACAGCTTCCTGGCTAGAGTGTTTGCTCCTACCCTCATCTCCTGCAATCTAACCTCAACAGTGTCTATAGCAGTCTTTGTAAAAGTTGAGTCTCTCTCTCTCTCTCTCTCTCTCTCTCTCTCTCCACATTCATGTGTATCATTATGGGCAAGTTTGTGCTACAGTGCATATGTGCAGTTTAGAAGACAACCTTGGGTGAAAGGCCCTTGCCTTCTGCCTTGTTTGAGACAGTCTCTTTGTTGTTTTCCTGCCACATATATCCTGTTAGCAGGCCTGTGCACTTCCATGGATTCTCTTGTCGCTGCCTTCCATCTCCCCATAGGAGTGTTGGTGTTACAGATGCTGCTGCTACTGCATCGGCTTTTACACAGGTTTTGGGGATCCACACTCAGATCCATGCTTGCTCAACAAGTACTTTTACCCACTGGTCTTATCCCCAGACTTTAAAAGCTAAATCTTACCCTGGTTCTGTCTAAATCTTCTTGGCTCAGCTCAGAGCCAAGGCTGGAGTCCTCAGGATTGCTTCAGGGCACTGACAACCTGCCACCTATCACCTGCCTCTCACTACCTTTCTTGTCACTCATTCAGTGGACGCTATACTGTTCCTGGATATGTCTGCTCAGGGCCTTTGCATGAGCTAACCTTGGCTCTTCTAGAGATAATCTTGGGTCTCACTTTCTTGCCCCCTTTAAGTGTCTGCTACATTTTCTACCGAGCCTATTCAGACTACACTGCCTCAAGTTGCAGTCCCCCCCATCCTCTCCACTGTACTTCTCATCTCTTATACCTTAATTTATTATGTTTTCATAACCTTTAATTGTCTCTTAATATATCACATTACTTTCTCCTCTTTAATCTTTGTCTCCATGTTCTAGAATGCACAGAGAGGTTTTTCCTATTTAGTTCATTACTATGTCCCTGACTCCTGGAGCATCCCTACTAGATGCTCAAAGCCACAAACCAGTCTGACCATTTCTAGAAGACATGGCCCCATCAGACTCACACCAAATGCTTGAGGTTCTTGGTAGTGAGACAGGCACTTGACTTGGATGCTCCAAGCAACACTAGTACAAACTGGAGCTCTGATAAGATTAAAGCCTTATCAAAGCTACTGTTCTCACACTAGTTCTATATCACCTGAGGTGCTTTAAAAAATGAATACCAATAAGCTTAGCATTGTGGTGCATGTCTTGGATTCCAATTCTTTTTTTCTTGTGTCTTTAATTAATTAACTAATTCATTAATTAAATTCCATGTGTATGAGAGTTCTGCCTGCATCCACCCATATCATGCAATGCCCATACAGGCCAGTAGAGGACATCAGGTCCCCTGGAACTGGAGTTAATAATGGTTGTTAGCCACCATGTGGGTACTGGGAACTGAGTCTGGGTCCTCTGCAACAACAAATGCTCTTAACTGCTGAGTAATTTCTTTTAACTGCTCTGATTTTCTTGGTTTTTTGAGACAGGGTCTCTCTGTGGCTCTAGCTGGCCTGGAACTGGTTATTCAATAGAGGCTGGTCTTGATCTTCTGCTTGCTTCTGTCTCCCAAATCCTGGGATTAAAGGCATGTTCCACCACATAATTCCAACTCTTAGGAAGCAGAGACAGAAGAAACAGAGTTCAGGGTTATTCTTGGCTACACAGTGAGTTTGAGGTCAGGCTGGGCTGCTTGAGACTCTATCTCAAAAAGTTATGAGCATACATATGATAATTCTTTAACTTCATAACATTCATTTGTTCATTGGTACAAAAGTTGCTATACTGGGTGTTTTTCCACATTCAACAATACAAGAAAACTTTATGATATTTTCTTTTCTCTGTTTGTCATTTAAGCTAGCCTCAATGTAAATGAATATGCCAAGTGCACACACACACACACACACACACACACACACAATCCTAACTGAAGAGTAAATTTAATTTAATTCCATGAAAAATAAAACATAAAAATGATCATAGTATTTCATCTAGTCATGTTCAAAGGAGTCCTATGCTATTTTATATGCAAGTTAGTGGCACAGTAGACTGAGACAATACTCTAATACATGTCCAATTAAAAAACATTCAGTTAGGTGTGGTGGCACACACCTGTAACCCCAGTACTTATGAGGATGAGGTAGGAGGATTATGCGTTTGAGACCAGCCTGTATTGTATAACAAGAAAAAAAAATCTCCATTTTTTTTAAGGCAACAAGAAAAAATAAAACAATGAAAGAAGTTTTATACTTGACTTTGGAGTTCTCAGAAGGCCTACCTGAAATCCCACATAAAAGACTTTTGCTACAGACAAAAATCTAAGAGGGAGTCATATGAGGAGGTTCCCAGGAGCTTGTAGGATGGTCATGCACTTCCTCCCTGGTTCCTACAGTCTTTCTGCCCCCTCTTCCTCAATGGTCCCTGAATCTTGAGTGGGTGAAGTTTAATAAAGGGGTCCTGTCCAAGGACCATCATTTAAGACATGTCCTTGAAATATGCTTTCACTGAAGAAGTGTGGAGACCATTAGGGGCTGAGACATAACATCTTTTCAGAACTAACAGGAAGCAATGGAGTCATCATGAGTTATAGATGGCCTGAGATATTCTTTCACTTAATGATGATGATGGTGCACAAGAGTGATGGGAAGTCTTGGCCAGGGACATTCTGAGGTCCTGGAAGGCAGGAAAATTCTCAGTCACCTCCAGGAGCATTGGATCAACTTATTTCCTTTGTGGGTATGAGACACTAGTATATTCAGCTTTGAAAGGAAAGCATTACTTTGTGTCAGGCACTTCTGGGCAGGCAAAGTGGGCTCTAACTAAACCAGGCCTGCCTGGGTAGTCTCTTTCCCATCTCCCATGCTTTGGACCACACCCCTCCCATAGATGTGGCTTCTGCAATCTACTCTTCTTTTAGTTCCTGCATCTCAGAGTCTTGGGTGTCAGATGGAAACTATTAGCTAAGATTTCAAATTCCGGAGAGCCTCGTGTTTAGTGCCATGGACTATGAAGGGAAATCTACACTGTTTGACCTGTGTAATTGTTCTGCTTTTAGAAGTGGAATGACTTTCTAGGATACTAACTTCAGTCTACCTTTTTACAATATTCTTTGCCTTTAAAAATATCTTCATGGCATAATTTGTATTTTAAGGACTCATGTATAAGGAAATACATTTGAAGCAATCTAGATCAACATCTATTCCTAAAAATAATTCTAACAAACTTGCCAGCTGATGAAAATTTGCCCCTCTGATGACATAGTCATTTCTCTTGATCACAAATCTAACTGAGGCCAGTCTGCCTCACATGTGTTGGGAAAGCAGAGAAAAGCCATGTGTGTTGACAGGTTTTGCCACATTAAAGTTTCAAGCTGTCTCAGCAACAAAAGTTTGGGTTAGAGTGGGTAGTCCCAGCACTGACACTTCAAGGCCAGCTCACACATTCCTACAGATGAAGGATCTCAGACTGTGGAAAACATTGTTAGCTGGAAAAAACAAATTACTTTCTTTCTGCTGGCTACTGTCCAACATCCAGGATTTTTGGTGGGGGGGAGTCCCATGGATCTGCTTGTTGCTCAGGGCCCCATCTGTTCTTCGCATGGCAACCATGATGCTCTGAGCTGCAGAGACTCACACCATATTCATAATTCTGAAATGGGAGGCAGCTGCTCCTACAGGCTCCTGGCTCTCTTTTATAGGGTTGGGAAGGGGCTTTGGCAAACTTTGTGGTAAGGCTGTGTAAAAGGAGCAGCTAGCTGTTTTCATTAGACTGGAAGAACACTTTTCATAATCAGGGGAAAAGGACATCAACACTTTGGGAAGAACAACTGTTAAAAGTGTCCCCTAGAATCACTCTTAAAAAAGATTTAATTTTATGTGTCTCTCTAGTGTTCTCTTTCTGTATGTGTAGGGGTGTGTGTGTGTGTGTGTGTGTGTGTGTGTGTGTGTGTGTTCACATGCATGTGGGTGTCCATGGAGGCCAAAAGAGTGTGGCAGATTTCCTGGAGCTGGTTACAGGCTGATGTAAGCTGCCTGACATGGGTTCTGGGAACTGAATTCTGGCCTCTGCAAGAGCAGCAAACTCTTTTAACCTCTGAACCATCTCTACAGTCCTTAAAATTACTCTTCATAATATTATTATTTAATTATTTGGCAATTTCATGCATATATAATG